CTAATACAACCTTAAGATAAACTCATAATACCTTATATTCATCTTAAGTGGATTCTGTGAACTTGGGAGTGACACAGAGAGATGTTCCTATAACCTTTGCCTTGCTTTAAAATCTAGACAGCATTTATTGTAGGATTCCTTTTTTGTAGGGCACAAACCCCTGGAAAATCTCCCAGATTAGATATCATGACAACCTTCAAAAATTAATAAAAAAGTAAATTACATCAGGATGAGTATGGTCCTGGGCAAGACTCTCACACGTTCCTTAAAAGACATTTCAGTTACAACGAGCCACATTCTGTGCACCTCTGGAGTTTTTTAAGAATTATGAGATTTCTTTGCAGAATTGCAACCCTTAGCAGCGTGGCACAGCTAATAGGAATCCTTCCAACTCTCTTTTTATACTGATGGTTTTATACTGTGGTTTTAACACTGACAAAAGCGATCAATTTTGTTTTATTTTCCTGCAATGGAACAGCCCATTTCCAATCCCATTCATATCAACAGAAACTAGATCAGTGAACCAGTAATCCACTCTTTAAATGTAAAGAAGAAATTGTCATGTGTTAAAATCAAGGGTTAGCACCAGCATTTGTGTAGATTACATTATTAAAACAATACAGAACAATGCTAATTTAATTTAATCTCATTTGCAGTACAACCTTCACAAAATAAAGAATAAATATTGAAGTCAAAAAGGCTGTTACTGTAGAAATACATTTTCGGGAAGATTAGACAAACATACTGTCTTCACCATTTTCAAGTAAATTTCCAATGGATGCATCTTCCATGAGTTATGTACAGTCAGCACTAGAGTGTGTAATTCTACTTTGACCCACCAAAGCTCCCAAATCATCATCGCTTCTATCCAGCCACAATAGAAAGACTCTTGCACAGGAGAAACAGCTGACAATTAGCTCACTTAGAATCATAGAATCTTTTGGGTTGGAAGGCACCCCTAGAGGCCATCTAGCCCAACCCCCCTGCAGTGAGCAGGGACACCGCTAACTAGATCAGGTTGCTCAGAGCCCCGTCCAACCTGACCTTGAATGCTTCCAGGGATGGGGCCTCCACCACCTCTCTGGGCAATCCATTCCAGTGTTTCACCACCCTCATTGTAAAGAATTTCTTCCTTATATCCAGTCTAAACCTACCTTGCTTCAGTTTAAAACCATTACCCCTTGTCTTGTCACAGCTGGCCCTACTAAAAAGATGTTCCCCATCTTTCCTATAGGCCCCCTTTAGGTACTGAAAGGCCGCAATCAGGTCTCCCCGCAGCCTTCTCTTCTCCAGGCTGAACAAGCCCAACTCCCTCAGCCTGTCCTCATAGCAGAGGTGCTCCAGCCCTCGGATCATTTTTGT